GTCTTCAGCCTGAGCTCACACCTCAGCTCTCCTGGTCTCAGGATCTCCAGCCTGAACTCACATTCTCAGCTGTCTCGTCTCAGGCCTTCAGCCTGAACTCACACCCTCAGCTCTCCTGGGTCTCAGGCCTCTGACTCAGACTGGAACTCACACCCTCGGCTCTCCTGGGTCTCAGGCCTTCAGGCTCAGACTGGAACTCACACCTTCAGCTCTCCTGGGTCTCAGGCCTTCAGGCTCAGACTAGAACTCACACCCTCGGCTCTCCTGGGTCTCAGGCCTTCAGACTCAGACTGGAACTCACACCCTCACCTCTCCTGGGTCTCAGGCCTTCAGGCTCAGACTGGAACTCACACCTTCAGCTCTCCTGGGTCTCAGGCCTTCAGGCTCAGACTAGAACTCACACCCTCAGTTCTTCTGGGTCTCAGGGTTTCAGACTCAGACTGGAACTCACACCCTCAGCTCTCCTGGGTCTCAGGCCTTCAGGCTCACACTAGAACTCACACCCTCGGCTCTCCTGGGTCTCAGGTCTTCAGAGTCAGACGGGAACTCATACTCTCGGCTCTCCTGGGTAGAAATTCAGACTCAGACTGGAATTCACACCCTTGGCTGTTCCAGGTCTCCAGCTTTTCACACAGCAGATTGCAGGACACCTCAATCTCCGTAATATTGTGAGTTTATTTCCTCCAAGAAGTCTCATATATTGTAGAGTTGTTAAAATATATGTGTATGTATTGATAAATATGTAAATATGTATAGAATATATAAATATTTATAAATTATGTAAAAGAATTATATTTGCCTCTGTCCTTATCTACCTAAAGATATAGACAATAAAACACATATATTTATATACATAAACCTTGCACACCCAGATAAAAATGGATCTCTTATGTATATATAAAAATCTATTGGTGCTTTTCTCTGGAGAACACTAACTCGTAACGATATATCTTTTTTTGGGGGGGGTAAACAATTTTATTTTTTTAAATTTTATGCCGCAAAATTATATCATGCACATTCACAAATAAGAAACTCGTCTTTAGGACATTAACCATCGGAAGTTTTCACCCGACTCACATACTTTTTCCTTTTAAGTTGCTATTGGGTTAACTGATATTTAGCATTTACTCTGCAGTTTGGTGAAACGTGTCATCGATCTGTTACGAGAGAATTCACATCTTTCGCTAAGTGTTCTCTGGGCTTGCACGTATTCTTGACCAAACAAAACATCCCTGGCTCCATACTCTAAACTATCTTTGTAGCCTACGTTATAAGACGGGGAAAGCCAAGAGAAATCTTTCTTTCGAGACGGAGTCTCGCTCTGTCGCCCAGGCTGGAGTGCAGTGGCGGGATCTCAGCTTGCTGCAACCTCCGCCTCCCGGGTTCAAGCGATTCTCCTGCCTCAGCCTCCCGAGTAGCTGGGACAACAGGCACCTGCCACCACGCCCAGCTAATTTTTGTACTTTTAGTAGAGACTGCAACCTCTGCTTCCAGGGTTCAAGCGATTCTCCTGCCTCAGCCTCCCGAGTAGCTGAGATTACAGGTGTCCGTGTCCACACCTGGCTAATCTGTGTATTTTTAGTAGAGACAGGATTTCACCATGTCGGCCAGGCTGGTCTCGAACTCCTGACTTCGGGAAATCTGCACACGTGGGCCACCCAAAGTCCTGGGATTACAGGCATGAGCCACCACTCCCGGACTTCATTTTATTTTAGATTCTGGGGATGCATATGCAGGTTTGTTACAAGATATATTGTGTGATGCTGAGATTTTGGGTATGAATATCTATCTATGACTTAGTTACTGAGCTTAGCACCCAAAAGGTAGTTTTCCAGCCCTTTTTCTCCCTCCCTCCCCTGTCTAGGCGTCTCCAATACCTGTTGCTCTCACCTTTTTTTCTTTTTTTCTGAGATGGAGTTTTCACTCTTGTTGCCCAGTCTGGAGTGCAGTGACCGGATCTCAGCTCACTGCAACCTCCGCCTCCCGGGTGCTGAGTAGCTGGGACTACAGGCGCCCACCGCTGTGCCCGGCTAATTTTTGTATTTTGTAGAGATGGGGTTTCACCGTGTTGGCCAGGCTGGTCTCCAACTCCTGACCTCAGGTGATCTGCCCGCCTCGGCCTCACAAAGTCCTGGGTTTGTAGCCGTGAGCCACCATGCCCGGCCTTTGTTTTATTTTAGATTCCGGGGGTACACGTGCAGGTTTCTTACAAAGGTATATTGTGTGAGGCTGAGACTTTGGATATGAATGATCTCATGACCTAGCTACTTAGCTTAGCACCCAGTACGTAGTTTTTCAGCCCTTCATCTCCCTCCCTCCCCTGTCTAGGAGTCTGTAATGCCTCTTGTTCCCATCTTTTTTCTTTTCTTTCTTTCTTTCTTTCTTTTTTTTTTCAGATAGAGTTTTCGCTCTTGTCGCCCAGGCTGGAGTGCAATGGCGCAATCTCGGCTCACTGCAACCTCCGCCTCCCGGAGGTTCAAGCGATTCTCCTGCCTCAGCCTCCCGAGTACCAGGGATTACAGGCATCCGCCACCACACCCAGCTAATTTTTGTACTTTTAGTAGAGACTGCAACCTCTGCTTCCCGGGTTCAAGTGATTCCACCGCCTCAGCCTCCCAATTAGCTGAAATTACAGGTGTCTGTGACCATGCCCGGCTAATTTTTGTATTTTTAGTAGAGATGGGGTTTCAGTATGTTGGCCAGGCTGGTCTCGAACTCCTGACCTCAGGTGATCTGCCTGCCTTGGCCTCCCACACTGCTGGGATGACAGGCATGAGCCACCACACCTGGCCTGTTGTTCCCTTCTTTATGTCCATGAGGACCCCATGTTTACCTCCTGCTTATAAGTGAGGACATGCGGCATTTGGCTTTGTGTCTCTGTATTAATTCACTTTGGAGAATGGCCTCCGGCTGGATCCAAGTTTCTGCAAAGGACATCAGTTCATTCTTTTTCATGGCTTTGTACTATTCCATGGTGTCTGTGCACCCCGTTTTATTATTCTTATTATTTTTATTTATTATTTATTTATTTATTTTGAGACAGAGTTTCACTCTCGTCGCCCAGGCTGGAGTGCGGTGGCGCCATCTCGGCTCACTGCAACCTCCACTTCCTGGGTTCGAGCGATCCTCTTGCCTCAGTCTCCCAAGTAGCTGGGGTTACTGGTGCCCGCCACCACGGCAAGCTTATTTTTTTTTTGTATTTTTAGTAGAGACAGGGTTTCTCCACGTTGACCAGTCTGGTCTCGAACTCCTGACCTCAGGTGATCCACCTGCCTCGGCCTCCCAACGTGCCGGAATTACAGGCATGAGCCACCGCACCTGCCTGTAACGTACCGTGTTTTCTTTATCCAGTGCACGCTGGATAAGCACCTGGGTCGACTCTGTGTCTTTGCTATTCTGAATAGTGCTGTGGCGAACGGTGAGAGCGGGTGTCCTTTTAGCAGAATGATTTCTTTTCCTGAGTAAGGTGTTTTCAAACAGAAACACACATAATGAAAAGCTACTTATTCATCTGTTGAAGAAAACACTGAGACCAGGGGCCTGAAGGATTCTTCTGATTGTTGTCATTGTTGTTGTTGTTTTGTCTGTTTGTTTGAGACAGAGTCTTTGTTGTCCAGTCTGGAGTGCAGTGGCCTGATCTCGGCTCACTGCAACCTCCACTTCCTGGGTTCAAGTGATTCCCGTGCCTCAGCCTCCCCAGTAGCTGGGATTACAGGAGTGGCCTGATCTCGGCTCACTGCAACCTCCACTTCCTGGGTTCATGATTCCCTCGTGCCTCAGCCTCCCCAGTAGCTGGGATTACAGGTGTGCACCACCACACCTGTTAATTTTTGTATTTTTAGTAGGGACGGATTGCCATGTTGGCCAGGATGGTCTCAATCTCCTGACCTCATGATCCACCACCTGCCTTGGCCTCCCAAAGTGCTGGGATTACAGGCATGAGCCACCTTGCCTTGGACTTTTTTCTTCTTTTTTTTTTTTTTCTTTTTTGAGACAATCTAACTCTGTCACCCAGGCTGGAAATGCAATGGTCGATCTTGACTCACCTGCAGCCTCCACCTCCCAGGTTCGAGCGATTCTCCTGCCTCAGCCTCCCCAGTAGCTGGGATTACAGGCATCCACCACCACGTCCAGCTAATTTTTGTATTTTTAGTAGGTGACGGGATTTCGCTATGTTGGACAGGCTGGTCTCAAACTCCTGACCTCAAGTGATCTGACCTGCCTTGGCCTCCCAAAGTGCTGGGATTACAGGCATGGGTTTCACCTTGCCTTGACTTTTTTTCTTTCTTTTTTTTTTTCTTTTTTTGAGACAATCTAACTCTGTCACCCAGGCTGGAATGCAATGGCCTGATCTTGGCTCACTGCAACCTCCGCCTCCCGGGTTCAAGCGATTCTCCTGCCTCAGCCTCCCCAGTAGCTGGGATTACAGGCATCCACCACCACGCCCAGCTAATTTTTGTATTTTTAGTAGGACGGGATTTCGTTATGTTGGCCAGGCTGGTCTCGAACTCCTGACCTTAAGTGGGCTCTTGGCCCCTGCCCTTTGGCCCCCAAAGTGCTGGGATTACAGGCATGAGCCCCCACACCCAGGCTGGCTTGAGAGTTTGTACCCTGTCTTTTCCCTGAGCCGTGGTTCAATATTCACTCATTCTTTCTGGGTGACAGATCCTTCCGTCTCAACCTCCTCCTCACACGAATGACAAGAGCCCACCATCGCTCCTCACAAGCAAGGAGGCCGGAACTCGGAAAACCTGGTGCTCAGTCGTGAAACCTGCCAGCCCTCAGGGGATGTTGAGGGTATGAACCTGTTCCGTCCGTGACCCAGTGTCAGAGCCGGAATGATCAGTGCCCAAGGTCTGTTGGCTTGTCACAGTCTGGCCGTGTACCAAGAGAAGTCGGAATTCGCACAGCTTTAGAATCTAAAAGGAAACATTTTTTGGTTTTTTTTTTTTTTTTTTTTTTTTTTGGTTTTGTTTTGTTTTAATTTCAGAAGAAACAGGAATCTGTTCTGGGAAATGCCACGACTCTTCACCGCTGGTGACAACATTAAGGAAAATCATTCTCCCTCTTTTCCTCTCTAGAAAATTCTCGGGGTTTTCTTAGAGTAGGGCCCCCGGGAGCCAGTGATAGGGAGGTGGGCGGTTAACGGTGTCGCCCAGAGACCGAGCGATGAGCTCAGCCCTGCACACCAGTGTTCAGACAGTTACACAGGAAATTTCACAACAGGCTTCCTTTCCACCTAAGCCTGAGTCGTAACCGTGGTTGTCCGCTCGGAGGTGGAGTTTGCAGAATTTGCATTCGGAGATGGTCGTGCCAGCCGGCGGGCCACCCAGCGGGGCGGCCACCCTTGCAACGTTTGCTGGAGAGATGGAACTGGAAGGGCAGCCGTCTGCTGCCAGCAAGCACTTTCTCAACCACTCTGGGTGGCCAGGGCTTGCAAGCTGGTGGCTGGCCCCCTGAGTCCTGGGCTCTGAGGCACACGGCCGTCGACTTAGGCGTTGGATTCCGTTACCTGGAGAACCTCTGAGCTCTCACCTGCTACTTCTGCCGCTGCTTCTGCACAGGTGAGCTGCCGGGCTGGCCGTTTCTTCTTGTTCTGTGTTGTCAAGGGAGAAGAGAGTATCGCTGGGAGGGTCCGTGTGGGCTGAGAATATGGGGGAAGACGGTGCAAACTCCGTGAAGTGTGTTCTTCTCACGCTAGAGGAGACCAGGTGTGCCAATGTGCAAATTCCCTGGGAAGCAGACTTTGCAGAACTGCTTAGCGGGGAAATGCTCACATTTTCCAGGGATGCAAACCACCTTTCCTTTAAAAACTCATTCCATGAACTTTGGGAGGCCGAGGCGGGCGGATCACAAGGTCAGGAGATCGAGACCATCCTGGCTAACTTGGTGAAACCCCGTCTCTACTAAAAAAAAAACACACACATTTAAAAAATTAGCCAGGTGCAGTGGCAGGCGCCTGTAGTCCCAGCTACTCGGGAGGCTGAGGCAGGAGAATGGCATGAACCCGGGAGGCGGAGCTTGCAGTGAGCTGAGATCGCGCCACCGCACTCCAGCCTGGGCGACAGAGCGAGACTCCGTCTCAAAAAAATAAATAAAACTCATTCCGTGAAATGCACCTCTGTTGAGGTTAACCTGAGAGAGGGTAAGCAGCTGGGGCTGCCGCTCCTAACTCATTTATGCCGGAGGTTGCAGTTTCTTGAATGTTTGCAATCCGACCTTGGCAATGACCTTGAGCCGTGGGCTATAAATAACTCCCGAATGCTTAGCGTTCCCATAATGGAACAGTAGGCATCAAGTCAATGGGTTTGAAAGCCCTGTGGGTGCCTGGATGAGCGTGGTGGCCCCTCGTCACCCCCTCCATGCCAGGGAGACCCCAGACCCGGGTCTCACCACCACCTCAGTCCTCATTTGCACAGGTCCATTTAGAAACCCTGATTCCTTGGGCTTTTTCAGATCCGTCCCTAAAAAGCTGAGACAAACCAAGTCCCCAGCGCCGACCTGGTCGAGGGAGATCTGGGAATTCCCGGCCACACACACAAGTGCCGCTGCTGTGACACCGTATGTCACATTTCTGTGAAGAGGAACCATGGTCACGGGGCTCTGTTCCCAAAAAGAAAAGGGTTATTTTGGGGTGTGTGTGTGTGTGTGTGTGTGTGTGTGTGTGGTTGTTTCTTCCCATGTTGTTATGTTTCCGTAAGGTGAATGTGCACGCGGAAACGCGAGGCCCCTGAGTAAAAAGCACGAAGGAGCTGAAACCCCTGAGGAAGCAGGTGCATGTGACCACGCCGTCCAATCTCTCCTTCCTGCTCTGTTCCTCCTTGCATAGCCCACTTGACTTTGGCAAGCAGCGCCAGATAGTAGCATGTGTGTGTGTGTATATATACAGTATACATAAATATATATTATATATAATATATGGAAATATATTATTATGTATAATATATATTATATAGAAATATATTATTATATATAATATATGGAAATACATTATTATATAATATATATTATATATAATATATGGAAATACATTATTATATAATATATAATATATATTATATATAATATATGGAAATATATTATTATATATAAATATATATTATATATAAACATATCATATATAAATATATAACATATGTTATATATAAATATATCATATATAATATATCATATATATTTTTATATAATATATAGAGAGATATATTATATATTATATATAGAGAGATATATATTATATATTATATATGATATATTTATATATAATACATATTATATGTTTATATGTATTTATATAATAATATATTTCCATATATTATATATAATATATAAATATAAATATATAATATATATTATATATAATATATAAATATATAATATATAAATATATAATATATAATATATAAATATATTATATATAAATATGTAATATATAAATATATAATATATGATATAATACATAATTTATAATATATAAACATATATAACATATATAAATATATATTATATATAACATATAACATATATAAATATATATAATTTATAATATATAAAAATATATAATATATATTATATATATATATATTTATGGTGGTGACACACACCTGTAATCCCAGCACTTTGGGAGGCCAAGGTGGACGGATCACTTGAGGTCAGGGGTTCGAGACCAGCCTGGCCAACATAGTGAAACCCCGTCTCTACTGAAACTATAAAAATTAGCCGGGTGTGGTGGTGCCCACCTGTCCTCCCAGCTACTCGGGACGCTGAGGCAGCAGAATCACCTGAACTCGGGAGACGGAGGTTGTGGGGAGCCCAAGATCCAAGATCGCACCACTGCACTCCAGCCTGGGTGACAGAGCGAGACTCTGTCTCCAAAAAAAAAAAAAAGGGAAATTATCCCACGTTGCAAAAACAGTACTTTCATTTGGGCACCGCCACACAGATGCCAGCGTCCTGCGTGCACCAGGACACTGTCCCTTTCCCAAATATGGGCGTCCCCCACCCTCAGGGGGACAATGAGGTCAGAGGCTGAGAGAGGGATGCCTGGGACTCATCGGACGGTGGGGCAACCCTGTCTTTGTAAAAGCAAGTGCTTTTCAGATGCCTTCTGCCAGGCCCCCACCTGGCTGAGCCACTAAGATGGACCAAGCTTGGGGTGGGTGGGAGAGATGAGGTCCCCTGGGAGAACCACAGAGACCCTCCCTCCCTCCAACGCTACCCACACTGCATTTCTGGGTTTGCCACTTAAGGTTCTGGGGGAGAAGCGATGGCTTAGGGTTGATAACAGCAGAGTAGCTGTTGCCAGTGGTGAATATGTACAGGTCTGGACTTGGAGAGGCCTGGGCAGATGGCCCCCTCTTGTCTGAGTCTCTCTCCTGCTGACCTGTCCTCCAGCCCTGCCTCTCCATCAGCACCTCCTCCTTGGCTGTGCCTGGGCAGGGTCCCCAACCTCCCTCCCACAGCCCCTCTTCTGTCCCTAGAGGCACTGAGGTGGGCGCAGCAGGGTCCAGGGATCCCAGTGTCCACCTGGGTCCCTGCTCTACCTCTCTCAGGCTAGGAGTTTCTGCACGGCCCCTGGGAGACACACGACCCCCTGCAGAAGGTACAGAAAGAGGGGGGGCGGGATGGGGGCCCCCAGGATTACCCCCAGGGACTGCACTGAGCTCAGGGAACTCCAGGGAGGGTTCTGCAGCTCACACTGTCGCACCCCAGGGACGCAGGATCTGTGTTCATTTAGGACAAAGCAACAGATATATCTGTGTGTGTGTGTGTGTGTGTATATTATATATAATTATGTAATATATAAATAAATATATAGTGTGTGTAAATATATAATATATAAATAATAAATAGTATGTAAATATATAATCTATTTAAATAATAAATATATACATATATAATATAAAAATAATAAATAATATATAAATATAATCTATTTAAATAATAAATATATAAATATGTAATATGAAAATAATAAATAATATGTAAATATATAATCTATTTAAATAATAAATACATAAATATAAAATATATAAATAATATATAAATATGTAATATATGAATAATATAAAAATATAAAATATATGCATAATAAATCATATATAATATATTTAAATAGTAAATATATAAATATATAATATACAAATATATGATATATAAATAAAATTATATAAATATATATTTAAATGATAAATATATAATATATAAATAAAAATATACATATATAATATATTTAAATAATAAATATATATACCATATATACAAATAATATATAAATATGTAATGTATTTAAATTATAAATATATAAATATACAATATTTAAATAATATATAATATATTTAAATGATAAATATATAAATATATATCATATAAATAAGAATATGTAATATATTTAAATAATTAATATATAAATATATAGCATATAAATAAAACATAATGTATAATATATTTAAATAATAAATATATAAATATGTAACATATAAATATATATTATTTATGGCTCCAACGATCTCTTTTATTGCCTCAAGAAAGCAGTCCTCAGAAGATTTTTTCAGAAGTCGATGTGTGTTTTTGTTGGTTAGTTTTACAGTTTTTACTTCCATAGGTTTTGGGGAAACAGGTGCTATTTGGTTACACGAGTACGTTCTTTAGTGGTGATGTGTGAGATTTTGGGGTACCCATCACCTGAGCAGTATACACTGAACCCAATTTGTGGCCTTTTATCCCTCATCCTTTTCCCACTCTTTGCCCTGGAGTTCCCAAAGTCCACTGTGTCATTCTTTTTTTTTTTTTTTGAGATGGAGTTTCACTCTGTTGCCCAGGCTGGAGCGCAGTGGCACAATCTCGGCTCACTGCAACCTCCTTCTCCCAGATTCCAGCAATTCTCCCGCCTCAGCCTCCTCCTGAGTAGCTGGGATTACAAGCATGTGCCACCTTGCCCGGATAATTTTTGTATTTTTAGTAGAGATGGGGTTTCACCATGTTGGCCAGGCTGGTCTCAAACTCCTGACCTTGTGATCTGCCCGCCTTGGCCTCCCAAAGTGCTGGGATGACAGGTGTGAGCCACTGCGCCCGGCCATTGTGTCATTCTTTTATGCCTTTGCATCCTCATAGCTTAGGTCTCACTTATGAGTGAGAACATACGATGTTTGCTTTTCCATTCCTGAGTTACTTCACTTAGAATGATGGTCTCCAATCTCATCCAGGTGGCTGCAAATGCCGTTCTTTTTCATGACTGAGTAGTATTCCATCATATGTATGTGTGTATATATACACACACGTCTAAATATATACACACATATGTGTGTATATGTATATACACATGTATACATATATGATGTATATATGCATGCACACATATATGATGTATATGCACATGTACACACATATATGATGTATACACGCATGTACACGCATATATGATGCACACACACATGTACATACGTATATGATGCATACATGTATGTATGCACATGTGTATGCACACATATACACATATACACACATATATACACATATACATACATATATGTGTATACATATACATGTACACATACATACACATACA